AGCCACGCCCCCACTCCCAAGCATCAGCGTCTCGAGCTTTTTTCCCGCCCAGCGACACGCTATATCTGGTTGCAGGGCATCGCGTGTTGCCGTGGCCGCCGCCTCGACATGCTGAGCAATAGTTGCCGACCGTATACGCGTGACCCCTCGCCAGACTGACCGTTGGTGTGGGCCTACGCCTACTGCTGACCTTTGGTGTGAGCCCACTGCATGCGGTGAGATAGCAGCGGCTTGTGGTTAAAGTTACCCTCCCCCCCGCGCCCCCTTCAATTTGGGTCTGCAGGACGGGTTCAGATTAGATGGCGGCTCGATTGGGAACCCGACTTACTCCACACCGGCGTCCCCGATGCATCGCATCGCCGACGTCTCTGGTGCATCGCCAATACATCGGTGATGCGTCGACGATGCGGCGCGATACCCCGACCCCACCTACTCCGACCCCATACGGTGGGAAGTTTAGCCAAACCGCGCACGGCAGGCCACGTTTGTTTAGGGTCACGCCTGCGGTGTGTAGCCGATTCCCATATTGTCCTTGTTTTCTGCTGCACCCTGTCTGGCCTCGCACTTGGCGCGGGCGCCGCCAGGGGGCTCAAGAGGAGCTCCGAGGGGCGACCGATCGGAGCACCTGCGAGCTCGGAAGGGGGGCGATATAGTTCTTCTGGATCGCTGATGTGTTCGCACGGGTCGGATCCACCTTTTCTCTCCCCGCAGATGCGCTTTACAACTATTCGATCACACTTCAAAAGCCCCAAACCACCTCCTGAAATCAGATGAGTGGTTTCAGCGCGAACCGAATTGTAATATCGCTTGTCTTCTGCCTACTAGCAGGCGGTGTCTAGACCAGGTCCGTGGACACACGTGTTGGTGCTGCGGCAGACAGGAAAGCGCTTGGACTTGTGTTGACAAGAATGCCCAGAATGCCCCCGCGGGCCATCGAAGTGAAGTGGTCCGCACGACAGAGGATCACGTTTCTGTCAAAGTGTTTTTAGAGTTACTGATCAGGCTACTGACAAAATGTTCAGTCTGTTGTCAGTGGCCCCGCCACGCCTGTTTGGAGAACAAATCATGACGTGAGTGTCTCTACCCTTGGTGGGGACAACGCGCTTTTCTGAACACAGCGCCTAAACATGTTCGCTCCCTTTCACTGTTCGGTGGATTACGTCAAAAAGGATCCCGTTGATATCATTGTTAAGTGCTTCATAAGCAGCTTGCAAGAACGCTCGCTGAAATCTTGACTATCCTGCGCGACATCGCCCAGACCTGTCGCGCGATCTCAATTGTCGGCCCCATGTTCGATACCGAAAGCTGAGCCTAGCCCAGCAGTCCCATGTACCTGAATCACGGGCCCAGCAGAACGCCCATGCCCGCCAATCGAGGCCCCGATCGCGGTGAAAAGTGATCACGATGCAGGGCTCCAGCGTCCTCGTGCCCTTGTGTGGCAGGTTCCGTCCCCAGTCGTTGCACGAGCGCTTGTGCCCAGCGCGAGCCGAAGGGGGCTCAACTCAACAGCCGCCACTCCAGACCACCTCGACGCAGTCCAGGTTGTGTCGGGGAAGCAAGCGCAGTGGGCACACCGAATGAGAAGCTAGCCTGCAAGCGGATGCCCCGCGATGATTTCTGCTCTCTCTGCGTGACCGCGGAGCCCTGCTGCACCCTGCGAAATTCCGAGTCGAGGGAAGATGCGTCCTTCGATTAGGATGCAATTCCTGGGAGGTCAAATTCAGCATTGGCCTTGGCTTAACTCCGCAGTCGAAGACCAGTCTAATCCGGCTGAGTCAGCCGTAATCCCGCCGAGGATGGTTAAATCCCGCTGAATGTGGCTTGATTTTGGGCCAGTTGGGCCTGATGGCCCCGCAATCGGGGAAGAGTTCTTATCGTAGGTGCCTTCCTCTCTGCCTGCAATGTTTTCGTTTTTGCCACATGCGGCCCCTGAACGTCCCGGCCCTTTCCCCAGGGGGCGGTGTTCCATCCCGAGCCGAGCTTCTTGACGCCCCTGGGGCCCGGGGAGAACCCCGTGGAGGTTGCAAGCAGTCCAAAACCTTCCGTCGTGTTTTTGCCACCGCGCAAGCACGTCCGGGGGTCAGATTGTTTAGGTCACAACTCGGGCCTCCAGCGGCCGTTCGGGACGACTCCAGCAGCCCCAGAGACGCTCTCGACGGGGCGCAGCTGCTGGAAGGCACCCTGAGGCTGGACAGCCGCCGAGAACCGACGAAGGCGTCCGAAAACCTCGAACCCCTCGAGCCTCGAACCTCGAGCCTCGAACGGGGACTCCGGCGTACAATCGGGGCCCTGAGGAAGGAACCCTTTTCGTTGGGGAGGGGCTCCGCGTTCCTCAAGTGTTTCGCGGCTTGCCTCAGGCTTTCCTTAGGTTTTCGACAGGAGATCGAAGGTCAACTTCTGGAAAAAAGGGGCCTCGCTCCTTATCTAGAGTTCCTTAGGGCAAGGCCCCGACCGTACGCCGGTCCGGCGAGAGCGCCGCCTGGCCGCCGCCCGCCGCCAGGGCCGTCCGAGGGCCTGCGGCGGCTCCAGGAGGACAGCGCGCTGCATGGGGCGGGCAGCCGCGCGGGCCGGAGCGTATAGCGCTGCAGCCCGCGGCCCGGGCTTGGGGCTCACGGCGTCGGTTACCAGCCTCGAACGTGTCCCTATCCCTAAGATTGACACGCCAAAAGGCGATGACAATCTTAGGGATTCGCCCTCCAAAAAGTAGGGGAATCCTCAAGCTTGGCATCGTAATGAGGAGGTGCCCAGCATAGGGATAGGGATATGTTCCAGGCTGGTTTGTCAGGGCGCGCTTCGACCCCCAGGCCCCCTCGGGTCATGACAAAAAATCACGACGGAAGGCTTCTCCCCATCTTCGGCCTCTGGAGGCCCTCACCGGGCCTCGGCACCGTAAAAAAAAGCCACGCAGGAGGAGAAGCCGGTCCCGGGGAAGGGGTCCAGACCTTTGGGGGTCGACGTCATGGAAAAGTCAGGTCGTCGGGGGTCTGGGGCTATAGCAGTGGCGAAGCGTCCGGACCCAGAGAGGCGACGCTCCCAAAGAGTTTGGGGCCCTGAGATCCTGGCGTTGCAGTTTTTCCACGCCGGGCGTTGTCGCTCATCTTCGGGCCCCGGGACCTGTGCATCTCGATCCGGCTCGAACAATGACGCAGGATGATGATGGGGTCCGGGGTTCCGGTCGTGATTTTTGCGCGACGTTGCAATATTATATTTTGCAACGTCGGATATCAGGGGAGCAGTGTGTTTGGGGCCCGTTTTGCCTTTCGGGGGCTGTGGCCAGGCCTTGGGGCCGTCCAAGAACGGCTCAGGACGCAAGGCGGGGCCTGGAAAAATGGTCCAGACCTCCATGGAGGTCTGGACCACGCATCGACAAAATCGGAGCAGCCAGATGTCTGGGGTCTTCGCCGGTAGGCCCACCAACGGATGTTCCAAGGACCTTGTGAGGTGTGCACGAAGCGTTCGTAGAACGTGTTTGGCTGAGACCGTCTTGGCTAGGGCTAGAGCTCATCGCTGGTATGTTCTACGAACACAGCTTTGGTTATTTGAACATCTTCTTTCTTGAAGAACATGTCGTGGTACAGTCGGGGCGCTGCAGAAGGAACCCTTTTCGTTGGGGAGGGGCTCGGTGTTCTTTGATTGTTCTGCAGCTTGCCTTCGATTTTCCCGAGGCTTTCCACTGGAAATCGAAGTTCAACTTGTGGGCAAAAGGGGCCTCGTTCCTTATTTATCGCTCCTCAGGTCAACGCCCCGACGGTAGGCCTATAGGAATACCGGGACGGTCGGTCCCTGCTCAACCTCGGGCGTCAGGACGAGGGTCGAACTTCTGCATCTTTTACCATTGAAGGGCTTCCAGGGGGCTCCGCGTCGCCACGGCTGGGTCCGCCTCGAGGTGCTGGCCAGGACGCTCCGCGGAACGGGTCTGTGGATCGGTTCTGGGCCCCCCAGTCTTATGATGTTGGCACGATGGAGATGGGTACGGAAAGGATGGGTACGATGCCCAGCAGCAGTTCCCCTTCATTCTGAACAGGGCTCGCTGTCGGTGTCACCGCGGCCTGTGTCCATTTGAGACAGAAGGCCGCCTGCCCAACAGCGGCCGCTGTTGGTTTGGGACAACATTTGTTGTTGGGCATTGTACGCATTCTTTCCGTACCCACTTCGGGCGTCTAAATATGATGTTCCAGTGTATTCTAGACGTGATCGCCAGAGAGACTTTCGAGCACCAGGAGAGGATCGGAACCGGACGGTTTTCCCGTGTCGGGCCTTGGGGGGAGATGTTCGTTCGGCGCTTCGCCAGCGTGTCTGGCAGACGCTGTTTCGATACTCTTCGGGGTGCTCGCAATTGATTCTGGAATGTGGTCATTCGGCAGCAAGTCCTCGGAGCCGCGTGTACCCTCGCAATGTCGTCTTTCGCGTCGACTAGTGTCGATTAGCGTCTGGGAGTCGATGATGTAGCGCCGATTTAGCGTCGGCTAGCGCCGCTTGGCGTCGATTTAGCGTCGATTGGCGTCGGTTCGCAAGGGCCGACAAGATGGCATTGGAGGTTCCCACTCGTTGCTACCGACTGGTCCTCAAGCGCGATGGGAACAACATAACCACAGTCCCTGACATGCTCGCGCCGTGGAAAAGCAGATCACAACGGGAGGTTCTCGGCCGTTTTTGTTCGGCATCGCGGGCTACTCGTCCTCGCGGGCCCTGGGACCGCGAACCAACCTCTCGGGATGACGAGCTGGCCGTTGGGAGAGGGTCTGAACGTCGTTGGGCCGCGCACTGAACAATCATGGCGTCGCAGGTCTGGGTACCCAGACCCCCTCGGGTCATGACAAAAAACAACGACGGGGAGTGTCTCGCTGTTTTCGGCCTCCGGGATCCCTTACCGGGCCTCGGGACAGGCAAACCACGGCTCAGGATGAGAAACTGGTCCCGTGGAACGGGTCCAGACCTCCTGGGGGTCGACGTCATGGAAAGATCATGACGTCGGGGGTCTGGGTACATGGCTGAGGCTTAGAAGTCCACAGCTTGGGGCGCGAGGCCGATTGCTTACGGCCTAGCTGGTGGGAGCTTCACGGCTGCGGCTTGTCGGCTTCGGGTTTTAGCGCGCGGCCTCGACAGTACATTGCACACGATTTGCCCTGTTGCGCTGACTGCGTAACACCACTGCTCGGGGTCCACGCCTTGGCTCCATGCAGCTTGCGCATCGCAGTATGGTTGAATCTCGGTTCAGGTCCTTGCTGGGCGCTTTTCGTGACCGTGCGATCAGGGCGTTCGAGTCGGTGTTCATCGGATTCCCCTGGTGCCTGTGCCTAGTTTCCCACCTCGGCCGAGGAGGAGGCGGAGCGCGAACGCTTCGCCAAGGAGTTCGAGGAGCAGAAGTCCGAGAAGCCTGGCCTCGAGGACTGCCCGCCTGGGGCGCGGTAACCTTGGTGAGAGCCCGCGTCGGACCAGTACTGCAGCAGGTCTAACGTCCTCGCTCGGGAGCTTCGCGAAGTTTGAGCGGACAGCCGTTTCCCACGCGTGCAGGAGGTTTGGTCGCCAGCAGCGTTGAATCAAGCGGGATCGGGTTGCCAGGCCACTCCGGCAGTGTCCGTGCGCGCGCGTATGATTTTTGCTTTTTCGGCCTCTGGTGCAAGCTCTTGGGCAGGGCCTGGATGCCCTGTGCTGCTTGCACAGCGCGGAGGCTGGAGCCCCGTCGGGCCTGGCAGTTTTGAGGGCCCCGAGCCTGGTCCTCCGGCGCGGCTCCCCTCCTCCGGAGCCCCGCCGGGCGGCCTCCGCCTCCGCCTCGCCTCGCGGCGGCAGCACGCCCTCGCCTGGCCGTCCTGCGCGTTTCGTCGGCAGGCTCTGCCCGCGGACCCCGTTCTCGCTGCGCACCCCGCTGCCTGCGCTCCCCTTCCAGGGGTCAGTTCGATTCCTCCGATTCGATTCGAATCGATTTCGGTGGCTTCCGATTCCGATTCGATTCGATTTCGGATTCCGATTTGATTCCGATTTCTCATCGGAGGCCTGCCAGCCTGCCGATTTCCGCCGATTCGACTTCTCCCGACTCGGCTGCCGATTTCCGCCGATCCGATTCATTTCGATCGCCGATCCGACATATCGATTCGATTCTGGGTTCTCCTGCCTTCCCTCGGCGTCGCCCCAACACATGTACTAGTTACTGCTGTGTGTGCGTCGTCCCCCCAGCGGCGGCGCGCGCACCGAGCAATCTTGTGGTGTGCGCGTCGTGGCGGGATTTCTCTGGACACGCCGCTCGGGAAACGACATGCCACAGGATGGGGATGCTATATGTTCGAGTCGGGCGCGCGCCTCCAAGGAGGACATACAGCACTACAGTGCCGTTCCTGATACACGCTCCGCGTGCGGATCATGTATTGAACATGCCGGGATTCAGTATGAAAAACAACGATGAGTTCATGCATACATTTACTCATGCATCGATCATGCATGGAAATCCTAGGTTTTCAAGACATGCGATGTGTTAGAAATTGCCCTGTCTAGCATGCCCCTGTGCGCTCCACCGCCCGCCGACGCTCGGCGGTCGGGCTCTCCCTCCCTCCCCTCCGCCCGCGGCCGCCCTCGCGGGTTCCCGGGGCCGGCGGCGGCCGGGCCCGGGGCGGCGCCGCCGGTGGGCCGGGCGAGGCCCTGCAGGGGGCGGCGCAGGGAGCCGACCTGCTTCAGCCTGGATCGCCAGAGAGAATGTCTAGCTCCAAGCAGAGCCCCGAATCATCCGGGGTAACTCGGGTCAGGGCTAACTCGGGTTCGTTTTTCGGGAATCCGGACCCGACTTACCCCGGGCCCGAGTTACCCCGGATAATTCGGGCGTCCAGAGCCCCACATCATCAGGGGTAACTCGGGTCAGGGCTAACTCGGGTTCCTTTTTCGGGAATCCAAGCCCGAGTTACCCCGGACCCGAGTTACCCCGGATAACTCGGGCGCCCAATCCAAGAAAGTACCGAGACTTAAAAAAACACAAGGAAATAGAGAAAGTGCCGAAACTTGCGGAGTTTCTCGTGTCGGGCCCTGGGGGGCGATATTCGCTCGACGCCGCTTCGACGCTTGTCTGGTTGCTCGAACTCATGTCTGGGACGTGGTCCTCAAGTACGATGGGAGCAACAGAAGGCTCCGCGCGGTCTCTTGCACCTTCCCCAGGTGCCGCGGTGCGGGTTCTCGCTGGTGTCGCTGTGGCTTCGCGGCCTGCCAGCGACCGGCCCGCTACCCGCCTGCGACCCGCCCGCGACCTAGCCGCCCCCGGTGCGCGTCCAGCGCGCCCCGCGGGTACCGCCCTGCTCTCGCCGGTGCTTGCGATTTAACAGGTGTCATTTGCTGCCGGGCGTCGAGAGTCCGAGAGTAGAATGCGGCGGGACAAAGCCAGACCTCCTCGCGTTGCGAAACAATCGCGACGGGAGTTTTTTTGCTGGTTTCGGCTTCTGGGGCCCTCGCGGGGCCTCGGGGCCGTCAACGAATGACTCAGGATGGAAAACCGGTCCCGGGGAATTGGTCCAGATCTCTGGGGGTCGACGTTGTGAAAAAATCATGACGTCGGGGGTCTGGGAAGACAGTCGTCTAGCCTTGCCACGTTCTGAAAGCCAGAAGAGGAAAAAGGTACCCATACCGCAGCCCTTGCCTCGTTTTCCCTTGTGGGGCCTCCTGGGAGGTCATGGTCGCCACCGCTGGATTCGCATCGAAATTCTGGTCAGAACGCACCCCAGGAGAGGTCCATGGAGTAGCGGTATCGGCGGTATCGGTACCTTCTGAGTTTCCCCAGAAAGTTGTCATAAGAAGAGTGTGTGTGTGCGCATGATTTGCTGGGGCGTCGTAGGCACTTGGGGACGAGCCTGATGAGATCGTTAATCGGTTCCGTGCGTGGTTGATTTATTCAAGTGGTTCGCGCCATTCCGCCGGCCCCCAGAGGAGAAACGAAGTCCACAGGTGAGGCGTTTTGCCTTTCAGGAACCGCTTGACGGGCCTGTTGGAACATGTTTTTGGCCCTCATGGGGGCATCCTGGAGCCCTTTTGGGGTATGCTTGGGGTTGGGGCTGAAGCGGAGGGCTCGAAATGGAAGTTCGAGTTCCCCCTTTCGGGCGCCTCCTGAGGCCATTTTGGGAACCTCCTGGGCCGTCTTGGGCGCCTGTGGGGCAGTTGTGGGGCTCCCTTGGGCCGTGTTGGAGCCCCCTCAGGGACCTCTCGGGCCGTCCTGGAGCGATCCTGGGAGCTTCTTGAGCCGCTTTGGACGCTGTTGAAACCGAAAGGGCGGATATGCTAAAAGTGCACGGCTTCTTCAGGAATTGGGGCGACTTGGGCCTCTTAGCGTGCCCTCGGGGGTCCTCGTAGAGTTCTCTGGAACGTCTTGGAGACCTCTTCCGCCGTCTTGACAAGCTGTCTTGATGGTTCTTAAGGCCTCCTTGGCGTGTTGGAGTCCAGCTTGAGTACAGTCGGGGCCCTGAAGAAGGAACCCTTTTCGTTGGGGAGGGGCTCCGCGTTCCTTAAGTGTTTCGCAGCTTGCCTCAGGTTTTCCTCATGGTTTCGATCGGAAATCGAAGTTTAACTTATAGAAAAAAAGGGGCCTCGTTCCTTATTTTGGGTTCCTTAGGTCAAGGCCCCGACTGTAAGCTTGGATGGGACCTGCGGCATCTTGGAGGCCACGGAGTATGTAGAGATGGAGCTCGGGAGGCCCCCCGGGGGGAGCGTTGGCGAGCCCAGAGGCTCCCCCGCCCCCCCCCCCCGCATCCGGTACCAATTCCAACCGGCTGGGACGACTCCCAACGAACTCGTGTTTTCCCATTGGGAAAACACGAGTTCGTTGGCAACCAGTTCGAACTGGTTGGCAACCAGTTCGAACAAAAACAAACTGGTGCCGATTCCAGCCGGCCAAGTAGCCTCGCTGGATGATTCGAGGTGCGAGGCGATGCGAGTCCATCCCCGAGCCAGGCAATCTGCGTAGATGTGCGCACACGGATTCCAGAGGCTAGCATGATCGCCCAGGCTGGAGTTTGTACCAGGTTTGTCCGAGGATGTGTTTGTAAGGATCTAAGGGCTGAAGGGTTGAAGGGCTTAAGGGCTTCAGCGTTAAGGGCTGAAGGGTTTAAGGGTTTGAGGGTTTGAGTTTTTTTTCTCTGTGTACATGCTTAAGGGAGGCTGGATGTACGTGCTTACGTGCTCAAGGGTTCATTCAAATGTTAGATGTGTAACGGCTTGATGGCATAAGGGCTCAAGGGCTTAAGGGTTTGAAGGGGATTTTCAGGGTTTCGGTGTGTAAGTGTTTAAGGGCTTCAAGGGTTGAAGGGCTTAGAGGCTTGATGGGGTTAATGGTTTACGGGTTTAGTGGTTTAAGGGTTTGGGGGGTTATTGGTTGATGGATTGAAGGGTGTAGGGGATTAAAGGGTTAAGGCTTCAATTGTTCAAGGGTGTGTGTGTGTGGTTTTAGGGCTTAAGGATTTCCGACATGAGGACTTAATGATGTAAGGCTTCAGCGGCTAAAGGGCCTACGGGTTCAGTTGTTGTTGTGCTTAAGGGGTATGGGTTTAAGGGTTTAACGGTTTTTGGGGGGACATGTTCAAAGCGTAAGAGCTTGAGGGAGTTGGCGAGCGAGTGAGGAGGGAGGAGCAGGAGGAGCGGGAGGAGGAGGTGGAGGAGGAGAAGGAGGAGGAGAAGGAGGAGGAGGATAAAGAGGAGGAGGAGGAGGATTTGGAACGGGGGGGGATGAGGAGGACAAGGGAGAGGAGGATGAGGAGGATGATGAGGAGGAGGAGGAGCAGCAGGAGGAGGAGGAGGAGGAAGGGGAGGATGAGGAGGATGCGCCTCTCAGAGACGCCTCTCAGAGATGCTCGTAAGACGCCTCTCAGAGACGCCCGTAAGACGCCTCTCAGAGACGCCCGTAAGACGCCTCTCAGAGACGCCTTTCAGAGACGCACGTAAGACTCCTCTTAGATTCCCGAACGACGCCTCTAAGGCGGCCGAATAACGCCATTAGGACTCACGCGTGGCGCTTCTAGAACACGTATAAACGCCTCTAAGACTCTCGTACGAGGACTGTAAGACGCTTCCGGGGCTTCTCATGGAGGTTGTTTGAAATTCGTATTGCAGGGTTGGAATGAGTTTCGAAGTGGTCGGACATTGTATTTTAGTGGCTGGATTTGGTTCCAGATGATGTAATTTGTCTCATTCCCCCCCCCTCCCTCCAATCGGATTTCAGACCCCCGCGGAGGCGGAAAAGGGGGGAGGGACAGCCAATCGTCTCACACGCCTTAGCACCCCTGTCAGGCGGGCGTCGGCGGATTGTATTGCGAAGGCGCCACCTCAGACAAGGCCTTAGTTATGTCGTCAGTTAGTTCCGCTTGGTGGATATATAATGGGTTGTGTGTCATCCAGAACGAACATCGGCGCTGTGGAGCAGGGCG